TAAAAGTATACCATAATACAAAATTAATCATACAACCATAATGCAATCAAACTACAAAGTACTAATGAAAAGATGAAAAAGAAATCCTCATACATTTTGAAATTGAGAAACAGATTTATATGAAACATATGGACCAAATAAATGACAAAGAATATTTTAAAATATTTTATAATAATAAATGCTGCATAAAAACTGCCTCATGAAATAACCGAAGCTATAAAGTTGCGTACAACGTTGACTTTACATGTCAGAAAATAAGAAGGTTCAGAAATTAATGATATAAGAATTTATCTTAAGAAGTTAGAAAAATATTGCCAATTAAATCTAAGGATAATTGAAGAAAGTAAAAAAGAGAAGGCAGTCATAAGATAGAAAATATCAACAAGCCAAGCAGTGGTGGTGCACGCCTTTAATCCCAGAACTTGGGAGGCTGAGACAGGAGCATAACAAGTTGGAATTGAGTCTGAGTTATACCCAGGGACTCCATTTCCAAAAACCAAAACAAATAAATAATTTAATAAATACCTTACCATGAAAAATAAAAACTCAGATCTGAAAGACTGCAAGAAATTTTACCAAATAGTTGAATAAGAAATAATGCAACAAATTCCTCCAGAGAATAATACATGAAGGAATAAGTTCCAATTGGTTTTATGAAGCAACCTGATCTTGATATGAAATTTGAAAAAACACATTATAAGCAAGGATATTTCAGTTCAGTGTCATTCATGAAAAAAAAAGAAAAATTCCTCAACATGTAGTAAAACCAAATCCAGCATTTTTTTTTTTTTTGCAATTCAGGATATCAAGGTTGGTTTCTGTGTATTGGTCACTGTAATTCACATGAGCAAGATAAAAGATATAAGATGATTATGTCTGTAGTCACATAAAACTGTTTTAATGAAATTGACATTGATTCATATTGTTTAGAGAACAGTCTCAGCAAAGGCAATAAAAAACCTCCTTAGATAGATAAGGCAGTCCTCAGAAGGAGCCTTCAGGTTTCGCCTCTGATATTGGTTTATTGTGTTCTTGACTTGACGCACACCTGTTGAATCTCTCTCTTGCCCAACTCTGAAGGGGTGTTCACCTCACACTATTACCTAAGTCTAAGTGGGAGGCTAAGAAATGATCAGAACGTTGCTTTGTAAGAATGCAGTGGAGAGGAACAGAAGAGATGATATTCAGAGCCAATACCTTTAATTGTGCAAAGCAGATAATATCTGAATGCAAACACGTGTGCTGCACAATGAGAAACAACCCTAGGAACTTCCCTGAACTCTCTGGAGACATTTTCTCTGCTGTTAACACAGTTTCTTTAGATGGAAAATTACATTCTTGGTTGCTTCTTGTGGTGGTTTGAATAAGGCCCCTATAGACTCACAGATTTGAAGGCTAGATCATTAGGGAATGGCACTATTTGAAAAGATTAGTAGGTGTGGCCTTGCTGAAGGAAGTGTGTCGTATCTCATTCATCCTGCTGCCTGTGGGTATGGATGAGGAACTCTCAACTACTTCTGCAGCATCATGTCTGTCTGAGTGCCAGCCTGCAGACACCATGCTTCCCACCATGATGATAATGAACTAAACCTTTGAACCTGTAAGCCAGCCCCAATTAAATGTTTTCTCTCATAAGAGTTGTCTTAGTCATGGTGTCTTTTTACAGCATTAGAATAGTGACTAAGACATTGCTGGTAATTCAACGTGGTCTCTCAGTGAGCCAGGCTGCTTATTCACATATGCAGTCTCCACATGCTGTGGCCCTTTCCTGGAATAAGTTCTACCCTATTCATAACACCTCAATTTCTCATCCATTCCCAAGCTCCCATGTCTTCTGTAAACTGGCTCTGGACAAAAGCATCTTTGTTTTGAGAAATCTCCCCTCTTGTCTTCACTGAACATTCCTTAATCCCTTAATAGTATTTATTACACTGTAGTAGATTTGAATTTCTTGAGTATGGTCCCAGGCTGGAGATGCAGGTCTGAGGTAGCTTCCTTGCCCAGAATGCACCTCTAGAGGCCTGGGTTTGACCTCTATAATTGGATGGGGAGACATTTTATATTTCTTACTATCTAAACTTAATAAAAGTTTATTAAGGGTAGAGATAATTAGTAAATGAGCACACCAGTGATTGGTTTGGTGGATCTTTCTCAGCAGGGCTCTGTTTTCTTATTACTACCTTTTGGGTGCTCTGTTCAGCACTCCTAAACTCATTCTAGCTAGTAATGAAACTGTCTCTGCTTGAGTACACTGAATTTACAATCAATAATGAACTCTAAATTGAATTTCTAATTGCTTTTATAATGCTACTACATTCACAGGCATTCCCAACACTGACTTCCAAATTTGTGGCATAACCTTCATTCCTAATTCCATCCTGTTTCTGTTGAGTGACAAGTTAGAGAAAGAACAGCATGAGTTGAGCGTTTTGAGGAATAACCTCAATTGCATATGTAAAAGAGTTTAAAAAATAATCAGTCTAGGACCAAAATTAATTCCTAATCAAGTTTAGTGGTTTAGAACCAAAACAAGTAAAGGACAGCAGAGTTGCCAGGAAAAAGGAAAAACAACTTCTTCCCAGGCTTTTCCTCCAAAGGAATCTGCAGAACTTTCTGTTATTTATAGCAGACTAGAGCAAGGGAAGAGGCTAATGTCCCTAACGTCCCACTGTGTTAGTCACTGAGGAGGTAAGAGCTAAGCATAGCCATGCCCTTTGCCATGACATCCGGGGATACTGAAGTTTAGCACAGGTGGGTGGGCATACCTGTAGGCACTTCCAGTCCTCTGTTCCTCAACAAAGTCCAGCACATCAGGACGGGGTCAGAGCAAGAAAGACTTGTAAGTTTCAGTGGTGGGTTTGTTCAGGCAAGTGCTTCACAATTCTGAGCATACTGAAGTTGCCCAGAGCTTTCAAGCAAAAGTATATCAATGCCCAGATGCTGGCCTAAAGAGTAAAACCAGACTCTGCAGAGGTGTGGGTGGTGTTAGTGTGTTCCCAAGGCTCCCTACAGGTGTTTCAGCAGTACTCCGGGGTCTAGAGCCAGTCACAGGGGCAGAGATATGATCTTTTAAAAGTTAATAAGGGGCCTAAATTTGATATGTCTTTCTTTAGAGAAATGTTTAACATTTACACTTAATGGTTGTATACTTTTGTTTCTTTTGTTGTATAAGAGCAAAACAGAGCAATCAGCATTTTGGAATTATCTCAAATGATAGCTACATTCCTAGGAAAGGAGACTCCTGGAGATTCCAACATAGCCACTTAAATCAGTCAGGAGTAGTCACAGCAGAAGTCTTAAGCATAAGCCTTGCTAGGTAGATAGAATGTAGACATGCATAAGAGGTAGGGTAGCGGGGGGGGGGAGGAGCAGTCCAAAGTGAGAAACAGCAAAAGTAAAGGAGAGGAAGAAGGAAAATCCAGAGAAAAGTGCCACAGAGCCTGATGCTGGGCATGATGGCAGCTGCAGGGGCAGTCTGAGCCAGTTGTCCAGGAGGATACATAGGAATAGGCTAAGCACTCAGTCCTTCCAAATATCTGTACCACTGAAAACAACTGGGTCTAAGTTTATTTAATTTCTGGAAAACTTAACCTCAAATAGTATTTATTGAGCACCAGCTACACACCAGGCATGCTTTCTTAGCATTCTGTTTATGTATCAACTAATCCTTACAACTCCATAATGCATTCTATTATTATCCTTATTCTACAGATGATGAAAGTGAAGCGCTGTAGGCTGGCATTTGACTTTGCTTCTTATAACTGAGTTCCCATGAAATCTTTACTAGATAGTGAATTAGATGCATTAACTACAAGAACATGCTCCAAGAAATGCATTGGGCGGTGATTTAATAGTTCCCTAAGCATCATAGCATGTACTGGTACTAGGTGGTAGAGGACAACATTGACTGTAGTCTTCAGACACAACTAGGAGGCACAGCAAATATGGGACAAGCAACTGCTGGCATATCATGCCATGGCATACAGTCTTACATAAACCTTTCTTTATGGTTCTGGGAATCAAGCCTACAGTCTTTCATGTGCTAGACAAATGCCATTTTTTTGTTTTTGTTGTTATTTTTAGAAATAAATTTTAAAATTAACAGTGTGTAGTGTAAACTAGTAAGATAGCTTATTCATTATCAAGCATTTTATACTTTATGTGATTGCGTTATGCTTTAATACAATTGGAACTGTATTAGGGTTTCTTTCCAGTGTCATCACAAACATGTAAATAATTTGTTGAGCTATGATGTCATGATGACTACAGTGACGCTAGCAAAAGGAAGTCCCCAGACCCATTCTCATCTCCTTGGACCATGGTTATTTAAGTGGTCCACAGTTAACCAAACACCATTCCGTGATTCATGATTGTAGTTATAATAGAAGTTACTCGTGTAAGAGGAGGCAGCAACAGGTACTAGGAAATAAAGTCAGATAGGGACTGGGGAGCCAAGGAGTCTGATCTTCCTATTTTGTGAGTAAAAAGAGTTTATTGAGATTTATTTTAATGAGTAGTGTGATAATGAAAGCTTAATAAAGCTAGTCTGGAAGGAAAATAGGAGGGGCTGAGAATGGGCAAATAAAAGAGGCAAGCATGAGACCTCTGGTCCTTTAGGAAGCAGATGGAGTGGGTGGTCCAAAGCAGGGATTGGTGGCAACTGTGGGAACAAAGAGCACTGAGGCGAGAGTCACAGTGAGGGTCCTGTTGAGTCAAGGAAGTCTTAGTGACTGGGGAATGTGGGAGGACCAGGAGGACAACCCAGGAGAGGGAAGACACAAAAATGACCTTTGCCTTACTTTTAATTTAAAGGCTGTTGAGTGTCCTAGATATGTGACTGCATTGGCTATCCTGACTTTAATTTTTTAACTTTATTTTATATTGAGCCTTATATTTGAGGTAGATGGCATATTGACTTCTATATCTTTACATTTACTTATTCTAATAATTAATATAGTGTTTTACTATTGTAACATAATTATTGATATCATTCACTATAGGTTATCAGATGAGGATGAAGAGGGCAAGACCAAGCAACAGTGTATCATCTCTGACCCCTCCTTTTCCATGGTGACAGTCCAACGGGAAGACAGTGGAATAAACTGGGAGACCAATTCAAGTAGATCATCCACTCCTTGGGCTTCAGAAGAAAGCCAAACTTCTGGTATATGTAGCTTGGAAGGGTCAGCTTTGAATTCTCCTCCAGGGAATGTTTCCTTTATTGTGGATGAAGTTAAAAAGCCACGGAAAAGAACTCATAAGTCCAAGCGTGGTTCTCCATCATTGCGTCGGAAAGGCAGCAAAAAACGAACTTCCCTGGAATCGCAAGATGTTCTGGCAAACAAGGAAGATGGTCCTTTAATGTCAGAAAGCCAAATGCTCAATACTGAGAACGAGAAGTCACCTATTGGCATTTATGATAAAGCAAGAAGAAAGAAGACAACATCCAATACACCTCCCATCACTGGGGCAATATACAAAGAGCACAAGCCACTAGTGTTGAGGCCAGTCTACATAGGAACAGTACAATACAAAATTAAGATGTTCAATTCAGTTAAAGAAGAATTAATTCCTCTACAATTTTATGGGACATTGCCAAAAGGTTATGTAATTAAGGAAATACATTACAGGAAAGGGAAAGATGCATCCATTAGTCTAGAGCCGGATTTGAGCAACAGTGGTTCTAACATAGTTTCCCAAAGAAGTAAATTAGCAGCCCAAAGCCCAGAAGATAATACGGCAAGAGAGCTTGCTCCGCCCTGGAGAGGTGCCCTTTCCAAAGGGTCAAAGTCCATGACCTCACTATTTAGTCATGAAGAGCAAAAGAAAATGTATGTCGAGTCCCCCTTAAATGCCACGGCTGCAACCGAGCACACATTGTCCTCATATTCCAGAAATGACACAACCGATCAAGAATACCCAAGACCTTCACACACAACGTCACAGCACCCAGCTGATGAATTGAAGACCCAAAGAATAGAGCCACCCAGCACACCAGCAACTACATTCCTCGAAAAAGCAAAGGAAGAATTTGAACCAGACTCACAAGGAATGGAAAATTCAGGGAATGATGCTTCAGTGTTCTCAGGCTCAGCTGCTGATATAGAACAGGAGGGCATGGTATCTGTCAACCATTCCTTGTCATGGGAGGCAGAGGAGTCTTTGAAGACAGGACCACCAAGACTGCCACCATCCATCCTAGAAAGGTTTGAGCCAGACAAGGAAGAGCTAGAACCGACTTCAGCAGAAAAGACAGAATCAGCCTTTGAACACCTAACCTCACTTGAGCCTGTAGTCCATGGAGAGGAGGAGCATGCGCCTGAACCTGTAGTCTATAGAGAGGAGGAGCATGCGCCTGAGCCCATAGTCCATAGAGAGGAGCATGCGCCTGAACCTGTAGTCTATAGAGAGGAGGAGCATGCGCCTGAGCCTGAGCCTGTGGTTCATAGAGAGAAGGAGCATGCGCCTGAACTTGTAGTCCACAGAGAGGAGGAGCATGCGCCTGAGCTTGTAGTCCATAAAGAGGAGGAGCATGCGCCTGAGCTTGTAGTCCATAAAGAGGAGGAGCATGCGCCTGAGCCTGTAGTCCACAGAGAGGAGGAGCATGCGCCTGAGCCCATAGTCCACAGAGAGGAGGAGCATGTGCCTGAGCCTGTAGTCCACAGAGTGGAGGAGCATGTGCCTGAGCCTGTAATACATAGAGAGGAGGAGCATGCGCCTGAACCCATAGTCCACAAAGAGAAGGAGCATGCGCCTGAGCCCATAGTCCACAGAGAGGAGGAACATGTGCCTGAGCCTGTAGTCCACAGAGTGGAGGAGCATGTGCCTGAGCCTGTAATACATAGAGAGGAGGAGCATGCGCCTGAACCCATAGTCCACAAAGAGAAGGAGCATGTGCCTGAGCCTGTGGTTCATAGAGAGGAGGAGCATGTGCCTGAGCCTGTGGTTCATAGAGAGGAGGAGCATGTGCCTGAGCCTGTGGTTCATAGAGAGGAGGAGCATGTGCCTGAGCCCATAGTCCACAGAGAGGAGGAGCATGTGCCTGAGCCCGTAGTCCACAGAGTGGAGGAGCATGCGCCTGAACCCATAGTCCACAAAGAGAAGGAGCATGTGCCTGAGCCTGTGGTTCATAGAGAGGAGGAGCATGCGCCTGAGCCCATAGTCCACAGAGTGGAGGAGCATGCGCCTGAACCCATAGTCCACAAAGAGAAGGAGCATGTGCCTGAGCCTGTAATACATAGAGAGGAGGAGCATGCGCCTGAACCCATAGTCCACAAAGAGGAGGAGCATGTGCCTGAGCCTGTAATACATAGAGAGGAGGAGCATGCGCCTGAACCCATAGTCCACAAAGAGAAGGAGCATGCGCTTGAACCCATAGTCCACAAAGAGAAGGAGCATGCGCCTGAACCCATAGTCCACAAAGAGAAGGAGCATGCGCCTGAACCCATAGTCCACAAAGAGAAGGAGCATGAGCCTGAACCCACAGTCCACAAAGTGGAGGAGCATGTGCCTGAGCTTGTAGTCCATAGAGAGGAGGAGCATGTGCCTGAGCTTGTAGTCCATAGAGAGGAGGAGCATGCGCCTGAGCCACCTGACTCTGGAGCATCACAGGAACTAGAGAAGGGAGTGGAAATCACCAATACCACCGAACCTGAAGATTCTAGTCTAGAAGAAGAGATCATAGAACTTGATTATCCAGAAAGTCTGTTAGTTTCTGAGGAGCCTTTCCCATCACCTTGGTCCCCTAAAGTGGAGCGCAGAGAAGAGCCTGTTCTTCCATCACAGATGACATTCCCACCAGAACATGTCTCTTTGTCTGAGGAGGAAAGAGAGGAAAACGAGTCTGTTTCTACTGATTCCGCTTTTGTATCTGAGTATTCGGTCCCACGGGATTTGAACAGTGAACTAGAGAAACAAGAAGCTGAGGCAGTTTCTCTCTCTGACGTGAAATCCAGCCCTGAACCTGCAGTTTTCTCAGAGGAGGATGACGAACACGAGTCTTATTCACCAGCTGTGGCATCTGAATCTGAGCACTCTCTCTCTCCATTCACCATTGAGAAGACATCTGCATCCCAGGCCCCGTCACCGGTCACACCGGGCCATCTGGTCCCGTCTGGAGATGAGGCCTCAGAGAGTAGGTGTCACACACCAGGGTCTGCATCTGTTACTGAGTATTCGGTTTCAGCGCATGATGCACAAGAGTTGCTGGCGAAGACAGGTGACCACAAGCCACCATTAAAGTCCCAAGATGTTTCTGAGCCCATGATTCTTACAGAAGAAGAGAGAGAGGACACTGGGCCACACCCCCCAGACCTGGATGCTACTTCTGAATCCTCTCATTCTCCATTGCTAACTGAGAAGGGTTCTGAACGCCACTTCCCGCCACCACCCCTGACTGCCACACTGAGACATGCAGCAGTTTCAGAAGATGGGGATCTAGAAAGTGAACATGCCACCTCACATTCAAAACTGACATTTAAATCCTCAACTCCACAAAATGAAACACAGGAATCTCTCCCCAAAACAATTGATGGCATGCCCCAATTCAAACCAAAAGGCATTTCTGAATCAGTGACTCTGTTAGAAGAAGAAAAGGGAGATGTTGGATCATCTTCAGCAGATGTGGTGTCTGCAGCACACGCTGTCCCACCACACGTAGCTGAGATACTTTCTGAATGCCAGGCCCTACTGCCTTCAGTCACCACATCTGAACATGTGGTCCTCCCGGAAGAAGGGATCACAGGGGGCCAGCAGTACCCGCTTCCCTCCACACCTGCTTCTGAACGCTCAGTATCAACGCCATCTGTAACACCAGAGTCCCAGGAGGAAGAGGTTGTTCACACATCCCCTCTGCTTCTGAAAGGTGCCACCTCACCCACAGATCTATCAGAGCAAGAGCAGGAAGAGGGAGACATCGGGCCCTTCTCCCCTGATTCCGCATTTGTGTCAGAATTCTCATTCTCACCCTATCCAGCTCAGGAAATAGAGACGAGAGAGCTGGGACGTGATTCTCCACTGTGCTTGACATCACCATCTGAGCACACTATTTTGTCAGATGAGGACACGGAAGAGGCTGAGCTTTTTTCTCCAGATTCAGCATCACAAGTTTCCATCCCGCCATACAGAATCCTAGAAACAGAGCAAAACGAGATCCAGGCAGACTCATCACTAACTGTGAGGTCTACTCCAGAATATCCCTACTTCTCAGAAGCAGAGGAGGAAGTGTCAGGATCACCAGTGCTCACGCCAGTGCCCGAGTATTTTGATCCATTACAGGAACGAAAGGCTGAGCCCCCCCAGTTCATGCCTGTTCCTGAAGACCTGAGCCTGCCACCCTCAGCAAATAAAACAGGCCAAGCAGAAACTATGCCAGATGCTCCAACAATTTCAACATCTGTATCCGAATATCTCATCCTGGCCCAGCAGCGGAAGACCCAAGCATCCCTGGAACCCGCGGCTGAAGGTGTGGCACCATCACCACCTTTTACCAGTGGATGGGAGAAGGGGGATGTTAAGAGTAGTTCAGCAGCGGTTGCGACAGCTGCTTCTTCGTCTGCACCGTCGTCGGTGGTGAAGGAGGAAGCCGAGCCCGTTTTGCCCACATCTCAGTCCTCAATTCCACCTGAGTCAGCCCGTGTCCTTAAGACAGAACGGGAACCCAAAGCATCACTAACTCTAAAGTCTGCACAGGAACAGATGGCTTTGCCAAAAGTCAGGAGGGAAGAAACTGTGCTGGGTTCTCAAGAAGCGGCAGCACACACGTCACAGGATCCAACACCAGAGCCTCAGCCCCCAAATGTTCCAGGGTCTGGGATGCAATACTCAGTTTTGTCTGACTCGGTAGAGGAGCCAAAGGTGGATGTCGAACCCAATTTAGCTCCAACTGTGATTTCTGAACTAGAACACAGAATGTTGTCAAAGAGTGAGCCTGAAGTGGCAAAACCATATTCGCCTCCAGAGGAAACATCTATTTCTGGACATGAGGCTTTGTCTGGGGTGAAAACGGAAGTGAAGCAGGACTCCAGGATAACCAGGGAACTTCCTGCAGCTTCATCCGTAGTAGAAAGGGAAGCTGAGCATCGCCCACCTGTACCACCGGCATTTTCAGCTTTGTCAGAAGACTTGCAGAAAGAAACCAAAGCCAGCTTTTCAGCCACCACAGTGCCAATAACTAAGCATGATTCTAATTTAACCGAATCAGGCAGAGCTGAAACCCTGACAGATTCATCTCGCATCAGCCCTGAGGGACACCCCGGCTTAAAGCCAGTAGGGAAGAGTGAATTAGGAAGAGGCTCGCCACCACTCATCACATCCACAGCTGAGCACTCAGGACTCATAGGGGGAGAGAAAGAACCAACTAAAGGTGCTGCTGTTGTCATCGACAGCTCTTTATCCAGAGGTTCAGCTTGGCCAGGAGCAGAGAAAGAAACAAAGTTAGATTCGTCTCCGAGTCTCTCATCGATGTTGGAGCATTCTGTTTGGTCAAAAGTAGAAACTGAAGATGTTAAACCTGGGTTGCCAGTTTCCAAAGCGCCAGCAGATGTGTCTGGGGGAGCCAGGGCAGAAGACACACAAGGCCTTCCACTCTCTCCAGGTCTCGATTCTGAACGCTCAAATTTATCACAGAAAAAGAACTTGGTGTCTGCCTCAGAGGTGTCAAAGCCTCAACCCAAACTTCCCATCAGCTTAGGTGGTGAAGTAAAGAAAGAAGACAGTGAGCTTCTTCTGTCACAGATGTCACTTGCACCCAAACACACAGTTCCAAGTGACAAACCTGAGGAGATAATAAGGTCTCCTGAGTCTGAAGATTTTATGTCAGATGATTTAGCCCCATCGTTACCGGCCCTCAGGGATGAGGTGAACAAACAACCAGAGGAGACATCTTCCTCAGTGCTGGGGGGTTTCCTGTCAGGAAAGCGAGAGCTCATAAGGCTCCCCGCAGAGCCTGAGGAGAAAGAAGAACAGTTATCACAAGCACCAGATGCTGGGTCAGAACTCACTGGTAGTAGAGATAGAAGTGGATCCTTAGGTATAGAACTAGTAAAGCCTCCTGTAACGGAGCCAGGGTCTTCTGTCTTAGAAAAGAGCCCCACTGTGCTTAGGGGCAGAGGAAAAGAAGAAGAAAACAGGGAGTTTCTTGCACCTGCCTCGTCTCCATTAGAGACTGCCTCTTCTGACCTCCCTATAGGGCAAACAGAGCTTGAAAAATCCCTACTTGAGGGGCAAACTGTTAAGGTGCCTGATACGAACAGCTCTTTCGCAGATAAACCAGATCTGGCTATTCAACAATTCTCAGACAGGAAAGAGAATTTGGAGCAATCCAAATCATGTATGGCAACTGAGCCTGCCAATGTTACAGGAACAAATGTGAAGGAGACTCTCTTTTCTCCAAAGGATAACACCTGGATGCTGCAAAAACCAGACAACTTGGCCAATGAGCATGAAGATAGAAAATCAGGATCTGGGTGGCTGGAGTTGTCTAACAGCAATGATCTGTTGCCAGGGAAACTCGAGGCTGCTCCATTGGATACAGACCACACATCTGGAATCAGAAAGCAAGTTCTACCCCAAGATATGGAAGAACCCCATTTACCATGGCAAGAACAAGAATCTACCCTTCACGTATCCAGTGGCAGGATAGAAACCTCCTCCACTAATACTCCCCTTTCTGAAGAGATAAACCTGCCTCAGGAACCACAGCCCATGGTTCCAGCTAGAAAGGTGGAGAGAGGCAGAGCAGAGGGGAAGCAGATCAATTATTTCACACAGAGTGAAAGTCCAATATCAGAGAAAGCTAATGCAGACTTTCCCAGGCCCTGCAAAGAAGAAACCCAGGAGGAAGTCAAACTACCTCTTGAAAGAACTCTCCAGAAATCAGAGCCTGGCCCATCCATGGAAAAGGTAAAGGCAGAAACTCCCCCGATTCCTGCCAGAGCAACACGTTTCCCCGCCGAAGTTGCAGAACCTACACTGGGCAAAGACCAAGAAGCAAGCACAGTGCCAGTGTCTGGTGAGAAGCCATCTCAAGAACTCAAATGGGTCCAGTCAAAGACTGCAGAGGATGCTGGTGAAAGGAGAAAGCCATCCCCTGACCAGAAAGTGTCCACCCCAAGTAAATCTGTCCCTGCGGTCACAGCACAGGTTATACCTCAACCCCCGGAGACACAGGAGGCAACACAAAAGCCACCTGAGAAGTCATTGGTGGCTGAGCAAGGTCTTCCTGCAGAGAAGGGGAAGAAGGGAATGTCATCCTTCAAATCATGGATGTCTAGTTTATTGTTTGGATCAAGCACTCCAGATAACAAGGTCAGCGGTAAAGAAGACTTAGAAGCCCAGCAGAGTCTCTCTGCAGAGAAAACAGCAGCTGCCCTAGAGCCAAAAGGTGCAGTTCCCGCTGAGGTTAACACAGTTAAACAGGCTGGAGAACCCAAGGGTGTGCCAGTTAAAGTGAGCGAAAGTCAAGACCTCAAAGAAAAACTCACATCTTTATCAGACACAGACGTTTTAAGCCAGCCAGAATCCAACACTGAAAATCACGGGAAGAAAGAATCTCCAGACTATTCGGAGGGAATGGGTGTGAGCTCAGCTACATCAGCTGGTGATGAATCTCTTGGAACTGAACCTTGTTCTCCCTTGGGTGAGAAACTGGTTATGGAAGAAGCCCCATATACTGTTGCTCTTCATGTTACTGAGAGCCAAAGACACCAGAAGCCACAAATCTCTCCTCCATCGACGTGGAGGATTTCGGCTCTTAAGGAAGATCACAATGAAACATTGCTCTTGTCACCTGACATAGAAGATAAAGTGTCACAACAGCCAAAATCAGCTCCATCCCACTTCACATGCGTGAAGGAATCAGAGAAGATGGCGCCAGTGATTTTGCCAGTAGAATCAAAAGGCATTTTAATTGAGCTTGGTGAAGACAGACTAAGAAAAGAAATGCCAAAACCCATTGCTTTGAAACATCGTGAAGAGGATGTCAAACGTCCAACCGAGGAGAAGGATAGCTGGGAAACTAGATCATTTTCCCTGGCAGAGAAGAGGGAGCTGGCAGAGAAACAAGAAATCACAGCTCCCTCAGAGCTTAGGGAAAATGAGGCGGCAGGAAAGTTGCAAATGATGCCGGAAGCTCGACCTTTTGAGTTGGAAGAACCAAAAGCCGCTGAGAGGCTGGAACAGCACATCTCTCCAAGTGAAGAACTTATGGAAAAACCCGGAGTGACTCTTGCTTTGGAGAGGAGGAGAGGAAAGGAAGAGGAGACACCGGCCTTTTCAGGAGGAAAGAAGCAGGGACACAGGCCCTACTCTCCAACCACAGCCATACCTGTGCCTGAAGCATCAGCCACGTCTTTGGGTGAAGCCCAGCCACCCTCACCTTCATTTGTTAAGGCACCACCAGCTACGGAACAACCAGAATGCATATTCATGGAGGTATACCCAGAAATTAGGGAGAGAAAGGCAGCAGAAACCCAACTGCATCCTCTGGAAGAAAGGAAAATTTTAGTAGAAAAAAACAAGTCTTCCAGTGTGGAGCCTCCCCACAGGGAGGCAATGGTTGGCCACCCTGTGACTCAGGGCGGGACTCTGGAGTTGGAGAAGTCCAGTAAGAACAGAGCGACACTGGAAGAGGAGAGGAGACGGTTCATAGAGACAGCGCTGTCCACCGATGCGTCACTGGCAGCTGTGGATGAAGGTGTGCTGTCAAGATCTCTATCTAAGCACGTTCCTGGTGAAACAGAGCATTTGAGAACACCACCCACTCGGCTGTCATCCGTAGAACCACAAACCCTTGTTTCAGGGGCTTCTCTGGAACATACAGTGAAGAAACCAGAAACATTGTCAGAGAGGCCTACAGTCCACACTATCCAGACATCTAAAGAGCTCGTTACAAAGCATCACTCGGAAGCTGTGGAGGACGCATACAGAAACGATCCACTCTCTTCAGCATCAAGCAACTACACTCAGTTTATGCTTAATGCATCAGCAATCAGTGCTGAGGGAACTACACCTATGAGAGGATCACCCAAGGAGCTCGAAGGCACCTCCGTGAGAGACGAAGAATTTGCAGTAACCAGCAAGCCAGCCGGACTTTCGGAGGATCAGAAGAGTGCCTTTAGCATCATTTCCGAAGGCTGTGAGATACTGAATATCCATGCGCCCGCTTTCATCCCTTCCGTGGATCAGGAAGAAAGTGAACAAATGCAAGATAAGTTACAGTATTTGGAGAAGAAAACCTCGTTTAAAACTATATCGCTGCATGATGAGAGTGAGGCAGTCGCTTCCCATACAACACAGAATGTCAACTTAGAAGATTCTGATAGGAAAGTCACGTCACTGACAGAAAACGAGCCAAAGGAAACTCATAAAACAAAAGAGGAGATAGCCACAGAGTCAGAAACAGGCGACTTCACTTTTATTCAACCCACGGTTTCCACTGAAGAGGATTATTTTGAAAAATACACTTTGATTGATTATAACCTCTCCCTAGACTCAGAAAAGCAGAAATTAACTGTTGAAGGAGTCTCAAAGGAAACCACGGAAGCAGCAGCTTCTTTCCAAGAACGTTCAGATGAATGCATCCTAGGACAAGAATATGACTTAGTAAAGTTGGATGAAAGCTTTTACGGGCTAGAAAAGGACTACAGCGAACTATCTCATGCGGAGATGCAAGAGTCTTTGGTCATCCAGAAGCCAGATGATAGAAATGTTGCGAAGGATGTTGGTAGAGACGTGGACTCCAGATTACCTGGGATGCCTTTGTTTGATGTGGAGGAAGGAGTTCTAGTAAGAAGCCAGGTATTTCCTACCACCGCCAAGGCTGTTAACCCAGAGCTTCTAGAGGAACCACCCGCACTTGCGTTTTTATATAAGGACCTGTATGAAGAGGCGTTTGGGGAGAAAAATGAAAGGGAGACGGCTTCTGAAGGAGGTAGTGTAGATTCCGAGGCATCGTTTCCAAGGAGACACTCTGACACTGATGATGGAGCAGGTATGTATTTTGAGAAGTATATACTCAGAGATGACATTCTGCATGGCACATCTGTAACTCAGGAGGATCAAGGCCACGGCCTGGAAGAAAAGCCAGTTGGTGAGGATGTCTCACATCGACAGAGAGTTGCAGAAAGAGGAATTGAGAGAAAGCCTGGAACTAGTTTTTGGGAGAAGAATGTGGGAGAACAACACACGGCTGTTGACAGGGAAGGTGCCTCTGTGGGCCACGGGGAGACCTGTGATGAAGTGGCCATGGAGCAGAAAGTTCCCATTACAGAGGAGGTCAGAGCAGTCACCCAGAAGATGAGCTATGCGGTTCCATTCGAAGACACCTGCCACGTTCTAGAGAGTGTAGATGAACCCAGCAGCCAGGGTAATGAAGCAGGAAATGCCAGCCCAGAGGTCCACCTGAACGTCCCAGTGCAAGTGTCTTTCCCAGAGGAAGAGTTTGCAGCTGGTGCCACTTACGCTTCAGAAATACCACAAGAAGAGCTCATCCCATCTGAGCCACGTAAAGAGAGGTTCCACAATACTCCTGTACAGGATGAGTACGAGTTCATTGACTCTCTGAATCAAGAAATGGTCAGTCGAGGCATCTTACCAGAAGAACCATCTTCAGAATCCACACCTGAAAATGCGTTATCTCAAGAACCAGAATACTCCAAGCATGTTAAGGAACATGAATTCATGAATGAGGAGGAACCAAGTACGTCTGCCGAACAGAAAGAGTTGCACAAAAGGAGGACAGAAAATGGCCAGTCTGCACCGGAGCCAGTTACAGATAAGACAAAGGTCCAGGTTGACTCTTACTGCTACACCTGCAAAAGCCCAGTCTCTGAAATGGACAAGGTGTTGGACATTCACAAAGACCATGAGGTTTCAGCACTTGACACAGCTATAAGTGCTGTGAAGGTAAACCAACTTAACCCACACAAATTACACATACTGGGTTTGCTTTCACATTTTCTTTAAAATGACCAAGATTTGACAGTCATTTTAAGCAAAAGGTTCTGAAAAAAAGTGCAACTATTTCACTAAGAATTTAGTTAAGACTATCTTATTTATTATTCTTACAGGCATTTTTCTAGGTTCTCAATATCAAGAAATAAAATGGGGTCATTGCCACCAAGGAGCTTACTATCTCATAGCAAAGATCCTTAATGTTATAAAAGTGTAAAATGTTTTAATCTCAGTAATTATACACTTGCAAATAGAGCGAGTTACTTTCTGTCATCAATAATATTTTCCTTTAAATATGTGTCTACTGCACTGACCAATTCTCTTCTAAGTGTTAAAGATTCTTGAAGCACTAAGATCTTAATTTTTCTTTTCACCATGTCCCACCTCCCCAGGATGCTGTTGAGAAGCATGGAGTCTGAGTGTCCACCTACCTCTCAGTCACCCAGTTCTCTTCCCTGTCTACATCTAGCAGCCAGAATGATGTCCAAATTAGCAAATAATAACAAAATCTGAGCACTTCTCTATGCCAGGCCTGTGCTGAGTTCTTTGTATACAAAGTACATTTTAATTCTCACAGCTTGCCATCACAGTTTACAGATAATGGAATGGGCTCGGGGAGTTAGTGTTTGCTGAGGTCTCGAGACAAAGCGGGGACTGAGACCCAGGTTGGCCCGACACTGGCGCTTATGCTGTTGGCTGTATGTCCATACTGTTTGGCTCAGTGCCTAGCTATCAGTGGCTCTCAAACAGTCCTTCAATGGAGTTGCTGTTAAACAGTTTTCAGGATAATTTTGATTAAATATGATTGCATTTTAGAATCTGAATATTTTTTCCAATCAAACTAATTCCCTTTTATTTCTCTAGGGTGAGATTTCATTGACATTTTTCTGGTTAAAGTTGGGAGGAAGGGACAAGGCAACCTCTGTTGTGAAATGTCACATCTCAGGTGCATTAACTCTGCTGAAATATGTTTCATTTTAGGATTACATTTTCTTTGAAGATTGACTTACTGGTCACTGTCTGCTAAGTTTTCCATACCCTTTTACTAATTATGTTTTGTTTTTATCTAAGTTTTGCCAAAATGTTGACAATTTCAAAAGTCCCAAAATAATACTCTGATCTCTTTAGATCATATAAATCTTTCAATTTTTAAAAAACAATTCAAAAGTAGGAGTATTGTGTCATCTTTAAAAGAACATTTTAAGGGCTTTTTATGTTGTTTGTTTGATGTTGTTTAAGGAATGTGAGAAGGAGAAAAGTAAGAGCCACTGACTAAATCCAGGAAGGCTTGCTTTTTTTTTTATTAAATTACCCATGAAAATTAAGAGTTGGAGGCAACTTTCAAAAAAAAAAAAAGAAAAAAGAAAAAAAGAAAAGAAAAGGGAAAAAAGAAAGAGAAAAAGAAAAGAAAAGCCGGGGCTACAGAGATGACTCGGCAGCCAAGAGCATTTCCTGCTCTTTCAGGGGACCTGGGTTCGTTTTCCAGCACCCACATGGTGGCTCACAGCCATCTGTAGCTCCATTCCAGGGACCCCAATGCCCTCTTGTGCAGTCAGGCACGTAGTGCACGTACACACATGTAGACAAAACACTCACGTACATGGATTAGTGAATCTAAGATACCACAAAAAGTTGTAAGGTCTGTAGGTGGACATTTGCAGACCATTGGCTGCGGTTTCCTGAAGCCCCAGAGCTTCCTCCTTTCCCTACTCTCCATCATGGTGATTGTCCTTGTTAACTCATCTTCATCCTTGGTTCACTTCTTTCCTGCTTTCAGTGTTTATTGATCTCCTGTTCTATGTCAGGAAGGATGCCAGTCACTGGGAGTGAGAAAGAAAGAGAGGGAAGTGAGGAGATGGACTTGGAGGTTCCTCAGATCAGTGCTGGCTTTAGCAATATAGAGGATGCTTTAGCAGTACAGGATGCTGAGAGACTAAGCTTTTGGGAGTTCATCAGTTGGGGGTGGGGTACTGGGAGGACCGAGGAAAGAGTCTCTAAAAGCTGAAGCTTGGCTGAGCCTTGATGAAGTAGAGATTGTCCATTAGTCAGTAGTGGAGAGAACATTCTAGAAATGGAAACTATAGGGAAAGCACAAATGTGAGAAGAAACTATAAAAAGATACAGCTGTGTGACAGGAGCCTAGGGATCTGGGAGGTGGGGTTTTAGGAGCTGAGACCTACTGGGAATTAGAGGCCTCTTGAAGAGGCTTCATCATGTATCATTGTCACCGAAGTTCTGTTGTTCAGTTTTGTTTTTATTATTATGTCTATCGGGCCAGGATACCATTGGCTTAGAACTATGGGTGAAGTAGGGTCTATTCTCATCTGCCACTCCATAAATTTTCTACTTGGTTGCTACTTAGCAACCTTAACTGTTTCAAAGCGGTTATAATCTTGAGATTTAGTAGACAGTCCTCTGTATCACTTGGTGTGCTGCTGTGTTGCCTGGTGGTACCCTGATCACCCTTTCAGCTCTGCCAGGCACACTGGGGTTGTGCATGCTCATGTGAAGACTCAATGGAGGCATGGTGGTCAGTTCAGCCAAAAGGCTGCGCACGTTACTGTGAAAATGCCTGGCACGAGTAACTTAAGGAAGGAATGGGGTAGGGGGTTATTTTGGTTTCAAAATCAAGTGTATAGCCTACCATGGAAAAGTCATGTTGGCAGGAGTTAGAGGCAGGGGGTCACATTGTATCTACAGTCTGTTTACAGGCGATTCTAGAGCTTGTCAAACTGATGACCAACAGCACAGAGTTCTACTTCAGACTGTACAAAAGCTCCAGGCCTTATGAACAGTAGTAATTCAAATCTCATTTATTAAACGAGAATATCTTTGCATATGTGTGCTTACATTCATGTGGCAGTCAGAGAAAACCCTCAATTATTTTTCTTCACACTATCCACTTTTTTTTTTGGTTTTATGAGACAGGGTTTCTCTGTATTGTTTTGGAGGCTGTCGGTCCAGCCTGGCTTCTAACTCACAGAGATCCATCCACCTGCCTCTGCCTCCCGAGTGCTGGGATTAAAGGCGTGCACCACCACCGCCCGGCTCAGACACTATCCACTTTAAAAAAACAAAACAAAACTTTTGACAGGGTCTCTCCCTTTCCTGGAACTTGCTGAGTAGGCAAGGCTGGCTGCCTAGAGAGCCAGAAATCCGTGTGTCTCTACCTCCACATTTCTGGATTACAAGCATGCACCAGCATGAATAGCTGGTTTTACATTGGTTCTGAGGAGCAAGCTCATGTCCTCATGCTTGCAAAGTAGGTAGTATGCCAACTCAGCTACTTCTCCAGCCCCATGAAATGTAACTGTCTGTCATACATAACTGTGTCCAATCCATTTAGGAGAAGCACAAAAATCCCTAAAATTTGATTTGTTGGTGAATATGGTATATTAAATCTCCACAGACACATGAAGGAAGCCAGAATCCACTGAGTGAAATGTTTCCCCTAATATTATACAGTAAAGACACTTTAATTCTTCCCTTCAGGTTCAATTAGGAGAATTTCTTGAGAACCTACAAGAAAAATCCTTGAGGATTGAAGCTTTTGTTAGTGAGATTGAATCCTTTTTTAACACTGTTGAGGTAAGTTAGCAAACTTTTTCTACTTTTTCCCCCTTTATTCGTTGTGTCAACAGTAAGTGACTTTGAACTGAATTGGTGTGTGTATTGTAATGTGCATGTGGTGTATAGTATGTGTGATGTGTGTGTGTTGTATATAGTGTGTGTGCATGTGTGTAATATGTGGTGTGTATGATATATAGTGTTTGTGTGTGGGGAGGGTGTAGTATGTAGTGTGTATGTATGTGTATGTGTGGAGTATAGTATATGTGTGTGTATATGTGTTGTGGTATATTTGTTACACTGTATGAAGATGTGTCATTGTGACTGGTTTAATAAAAAGCCAAACAGCTAATAGCTAGATAGGAGAAGTTAGGCAGGACTTCTGGGCAGAGAGAGGAACTCAGGGGATGAATCTAGGCATGGAGATTAGCCAGTGAGATATGGAGGGAGTTGGATGTACAAAATGGAGGAGAGGTAAAGCCACATGGAAGAACTTAGATTAATAGAAATGGGTTAATTTGAGTTATAAGAGCTAGAGAGACAAGCCTAAGCTAAGGCCAAGCTTTCATAATTAATAAGTCCTGTGTTATTATTTGGGGCTTGGTGGCCCAAAGAAAGTCTGACAAGACTAACTACATGTATATGTATATGTGGTTCATAATGTTTGTCTCTGTGTGTGGTATAATATGGTGTGTGTGTGTGTGTGGTATAGAGTGTGTATTATATAGTTTATATCTATGTGTGTGATATATAGTATATGTGATGTATAGTGTGTGTGTTTGTGTGTTTAGTTTACATTGTTGGTTATCTTTATTCAAAGTGAGGGTTCTTATAGTCTTCCCTCACTGCGAGCAATGAGACTGCTTTCTGTTTAAGGATAAAGGACTTTTCCCTAGAGATGCTCACTTCTTGGGGCCCTGGCATGCTAAAGCGGATGATTTCTGAAAGTGAAGCGTCAGACAGTCACTAAGAGGTGTTACTGCTTCCATTGCTTGGTTGAGAGACTGGGACTGAGTCTTCTGCTCTTCTTTCTTGTCTCTCGCTGCTTGGCCTCCAGAAATGTTCTTGTCACTGACTTGAGCCTTATGGTAGGGGCCAGTGGTGTCTCAGAGCACCTCTGAACACACACACTTCTGGCTGTTAGCTTCTGCCCCTTCACTGTGAAGAGAGTGGGTAGGAACGTTCTGTCCTTAGCTAGAGGTGGCCCAGATCCCTGTGGCTGTCAATCAGGAGTGAAGAGGCCTTCTTGCTGCCACTATGAATTAGTGAACTTTGTTTTATTGTCCCCTTCCCCAGGCTCTCTGGTGAGGATACTAACCACCAGTTTTGTCCAAATGGATAGTGACGTTCCTTCCACTGTGGCAAAACTGCCCCTCCCAGAAGAACACTGGTACAATGAAAATCACACAAGTCATTTCCATGTCCTGATGGCCAGGATCCTCCCCAGACATGATTTTCTTTTCTTCCTTTTTAAATTTTGATATTTCTGTTCCTTCTTGATGGTACTCTTACAGTGATTTCCATCGCAGAACTAATTACAGCAAAACAGATATAGAAGCTGGAGGTTTGGACCATGTTCTTAACATTTGACTGTTTTGCTGGCCTGTCAGAGGCCAGTTCTTCCAAAGGAAAAAAGATGAGGGGCAAACAGAGGAAGTACTTCTCTGTTTATTTAGAAATGCCTTTGTCCTGACCCTCTAGGAAAACTGTAGCAAAAATGAGAAACGCCTAGAAGAGCAGAATGAGGAAATGATGAAGAAGGTCTTGGCACGGTATGATGAGAAAGCCCAAGGCTTCGAGGAAGTGAAGAGGAAGAAGATGGAATTCCTGCACGACCAGATGGTCCACTTTCTGCAGAGCATGGACGCAGCCAAGGATACCTTGGAGACCATTGTGAGAGAGGCAGAGGAGCTTGATGAGACGGTTTTCCTGGCTGTAAGTACCATAGGAAGCAGTAAGTACCGATACCCGGTGCTGATGCTGACACAAGTCTAATTTTAAGACTCACTAAATTAGTTTATAAACTGGCTCCAGAGGCACAGCCCCGTAATCACAGCACTTGGGAAACCGGGGCAGCACAACCACAGGTACAAGTCCTGTCTGTTCTATACCTCAAGACGCTGGCTCTCAAAGCAGTGGGATGTGGTGGTGATGCACACCTTTAGTCCCAGCACTCGGGAGGCAGAGGCAGGTGGATCTCTGTGAGTTCCAGGCCAGCCTGGTCTACAGAGTGAGTTCCAGGATAGCCAAGGCTGCATAGTGAAACAACCTCCCCGCCCCCATCTTGAAAAAACTACCCCCCCAAAAAAGGGCAAGGAGAAACTCCAAATCAAACCCAGAAAGTTCTGTCTCTCAGTATGAAATTCACACAATTCTGACATTTCAAAATTCTTTGGGTACTCTTGATGCCTACACTGTAGAAAAGGCCCTGGAAATCCTAATGGTCCAATTTCCTAGGTCCCCAAGAGATTCATGGAAGGGGGCGGGGCTATCCTCTAGTCACATAACAGAAGGTTGATTGGAGAGCCCCCTGACAGCCTGTTTATGCCATGCCTTTCCTCCGAGGGCCAGCATGGCCTCCCGTTGTCTAGCATCTACACACTGGTCTCTGGCCTGCATATGAGCTCTCTCATCTGAGCTGCCCTCTCCTATGAACCAGTCCATATGCCCTTACCAAGCAGATGGCAGTAACTTTCTTGTTCCCTTTTTGATGTATATGGGAGACTTCATTGGGGGCACCTTCCTCAAATAGGACAGGGATATTGCAAGAAGCAGCTTCCTCACGACAAGATTCATTAATTCAAACACAGCACTGGTTGGAGAGCAATCCTCTCTTGGGTGCACCTTAGTTTTGTTCCTCGGGAATCCCTAGAATGTTCCAGAGGATGCTGGCTCTCTACACACTCATGTTTAACCAGGAGTAATACAGATGTTTTCCCAGAGGACAGACACAAGCCTAATTGTCAAATGGGAAATCTCTACCAGTGCTGAGAGGGGACCCCTCTTTCAAAGTTCCCTGTCTTCTTAGAACTTCCATTGAAGTAAGGCATTACTAGGCATTATAAAAATAGGCATTATAAAAGCTCATGATTGGCCTCTGGGGACACCTCTGGCCAGGGCGAATTTAGATCAAGTGCATATAGCCATCCTCAATGGAGAATTTAAAAATCATTAGGTGGCTTTATGTCTAATTAAAGCAAAGCTTTAAAATTTTAAAGTTAGGACCCTCTAATGAGGTATAACATTAATAAGGCACTTTGTGCTGCACTGTAATCTTTGATGAGAATATTTCTTTCTCTCTAGGAGGACAGCTATTAACATTTGTTTATGCCATTGGTGGTGATATTTATCCACTCTAGAAAAGGTGGAGAATGTTGGAAGTAGAGAGAAGATAACCCTCAAAGATAACTGCTGACTTCATCATAATGTAAAGCCCACACTGAACAAATTTCAGTCATTTTTTTCCCTTGCTGCACGGAATTCTAAAATATTTGTTAATACATAGAAGTAGAATACAACAGCGCACTGTCTCTGGCCCATCAAAGAGAGCAAGACAAACTGTAAATTAAGGCCCCTCCCTCCTCCACACAGTTCTCACCCCCTCTGAGTACACTTTCCCTGCTATTCCACCTAAAGACCCAAAGACAAATGGTCTCAGGGATGCCTGGGGTAAAGATTGTTTAGCATGTTTGATCTTAATGCTCCTGGTTGCTTTTACTTTCTGTTGTTAATTAGTCTCTCTCTCTCTCTCTCTCCTCTTCTTCCTCCTCCTCCTCTCCCAACTCAAGTCCTTTGAGGAAATCAATGAAAGGTATATGTAACATGGTGTGAAGACTGAGGAGAGCCTGGTGGGGTGCTTGGGGTGGGGTTGAGGGGCTGGGGGCTGAGATGCCAATTAAAAACACATCGAGGGAGCTGCTAGGATTCCACTCTTAGACATAGTGCTTCTAAGCATTAAATGACAGCTTCAGAAGAAAATTGCATGTGCTTTGGCTAAATAACAATTATAGTGTAGCTTTTAACACCTTTCTGAGACGTGGCCTGTATTTCTGATCTAATCTCAACCATCTTTCCCACTTCTGAATTTAAAAAAAAAGATTATAAATTATTAGGCTTATTGGTTAAATATGAGCACTTGAAGCAATCATTCTTTGCTGCAATGGACAATTTTAGTACTCATGTCTGTCCTGGTGGCATGTTCACTCATTCAGAAGGTAGCTCTCTCTGCTCAGCTAACCTGATGAGTCTTACCCTATTGATTGTGTTTTGTTTTGATGATGCTCCTGATTGGAAAGTGCTGTCCGTGCAGACACAGACATCAGATTAAGTTTGTCTTCTGGACCATCTGCTGCTGACGTCCCGACTCTGATCTCACCCCTTTCCTTTTGCCCCACAGCAAGAACTTGTGACCTTTCCTGCCAGTTGGGCCCAAGGTTTTATCATGTTAGTGGGATCATAAATGCCCATTTCTAAGTTATTAATGTTGCTTATTTCTATTTAAGTTCAATGGCAGAGAGTAGACAGCTACTACTAAAATAAGAAGTATTTATCTGGGACATATAAACCTGATGTTTTTCAGATAACTGAAGCCACAGGAATGAATCTTATTTGGTTGTAATACAGTGCCAATATACTTTATAAGGGCTGTTTATATATTAGTGTTGGCACTAGTTGACCAGAGTTTTAAAACAGTGGCTGTCCTGTGAATAGTTAATTGAGGAGTGTTAAAACACACCATCTGTAAGATGGGTGCGATAGCACATGCCTTTAATCCCAGTGTTCCAGAGGTAGAAGCAGGCTAATCTCTGAGTTCAAGGCCAGCCCAGTCTACAAAGTGAGTTCCAGGAGGGCTTGGACTACACAGAGAAACCCTGTCATGAAAAACAAACAAAACAAAACAAAATCCCAAAACCTGCTGATGCTGTCTGATTCTTAAGTCCTAACACTGGGACTTCATTGGTTTGAAGTGTGGCCTGAGCATTTTCAGAACTTCCTGGGTGATTGTAATGGACAGGCAGACTGAACCTCTGGGTGAGAGCAGTTTCCAAAACTGACAGTGCTTGAATCCCCGGATGACAGTATGCCCCAGACCCTGGAGCCTCACCCCCCTCTCCTCAGGGATTTGCAGGTAAGTGTGAGGCTTTTTACCAGTTCCCATGGGTGAGTTTCAGAAACTCACACCCAAGCAGTGATCCATATATTTTTAAACTTAAAGATGAGTAATATAATAATTTTTGAAGTTAAAAATATGTGGACTTAAGTGCTATTTCATATACACTGGACAATATAGATGCATATTTAATTATTTTTATCCCATCCATATGTGTAAGATAATGATCAGGAAGAAAATTTGGTCAGTGAAATTTTTTTTGCATTCTTTTTTTTAAAATTTATTTTTCAGTTTAAATTTAGATAAGAAACAAGGTTGCTTCACAAGTCAGTTCCAGGTCCCTCTCCCTTTCCCTCCCCTCCTCCTGTGCCCTCCCCCAACCCCCCCATTATCCCCTCATTTCCCCAGGGAGGGTGAGGCCCTCCATGGGGGTGTCCATAGTCTGTCATTTCATACAGGGCAGGGCCTAGACCCTCCCCCCAAGAGTTCAGGGTGAGAGTGCACCTCACATTGTTGGATGGGAGTCCAAAGTCCATGTGTATACTCGGGATGGGTACTGATCTGCTGCCCAAGCCTCAATAGATTACCTACGCCTCCTCACTGACACCCACATTCAGGGGGTCTTGATCAGTGAAAATTTATAAATGCTTTTACTTTAAAAATGCTGAAGGATTTTTCTGAATACTTGGTTACCACTAATATGAATAGACAGCCATTGCATACTAAATGCCATTCCTTTGGTTTTATGCTTTAACTTGGTAATTTGCATGTCATTTTAATTAATTTCTTTTTCACTCCCAATTGACAATGAATTAATCTTTACTACTGCTGCATATCACAAGGGAATATACTTGGGATAATCAATATTTTTCTTTTTATTATTTAAAATAAATTTTAAATTTAAGTATATGTCAATCATATTCTTGCTCTCCCTCAAATCCTTCCAGATCCTCTCCCCCTCCCTACCCTACCCACCTAACTTTAAGTTCTTTCTCAAACAAACAAAAACTCCATATAACAACCCCCAACCAAGAGAATAAAATAAAACAACACCCAAACAGAAAGAAACAAGAAAAAAAAATAAAACACCAAGCTGTAACCAAATAAAAGCACACACAAAAAACAGTGGTGTCTATTATATGTTGGTTAACTGCTCTTGATCATAAGGCCTGTCCTGGAATGGTTGATATACCCAGTGTCACTCCGTTGGAGAAAACTGATTTTCCCTCTCCCAGAAGGTATAAATGACAGTTCAGTTGTTAACCTTTGCCCTAGTGGTTAGTTTTGCATTCATTCATTCACTCATTTAAAAAAACAGCAAAATAAAATATAATAAGATAAAATAGAAACTATCATATCAAAGTTGGACATGACAAACCAACAACAGAAGGAAAAGAGCCCAAGAGAAGGCACAAGAATGAAGACCCACTTGCTCACACACTCAGGGATCCCATAAAAACACTAGACTGGAATCCATAAGACATGCACTTAGGACCTGATAGAGACCCATGCAGGCCCTGTGCATGCTGCTTCAGTCTCTCTGAGTTCACAAGAACTTTTGCTCTTCTTGATTTAGGAGGCTTTGTTTTCTTGGTGTCCGCCATCCCCTCTGGCTCTTAACTCTCTCTGCCTCCTCTTCTTTGGGGTTCCCTGACTTCTGAGGGAAGGGATTTGGTGGAGACATCCCATTTAGGGCTGAATATTACAAGGTCTCTCTCTCTCTCTCTCTCCCTCCCCCCCCTCTCTCTGCATGATGTCTGGCTGTGGGTCTCTGCATTTGTTCCCATCTGCTGCAGGAAGAAGCTGCTCTGATGATGGCTGAGTAAGGCACTGATCCATCAATATAGCAGAATATCTTTAGGAGGCATTTTATCACTGCATTTTTGGTTTTTTTTCCCCCTTGGTTTTAGATCAGTATTATTTGGCTTCATCCTAGAGCCCTGGGCTATCTAGTCAGTAGTTCTTGGTCACCCACGCAGTGTTGGGTATGAGAGCTTGTGCTTTAAGTCACATCAAATATTGGTTGGTTACTCTCACAGGCTTTGTGCCACCATTGCCCTAGTATATCCTGCAGGCTGGATACCATTGTGGATCAAAGGTTCATGGCTGGGTTGGTGTTTATATTTCTCTTTTGGTAGTGTTCAGAGTACACTCCTGTACCAAAGGCACTAGAATGTAGGGATGGAGACTCTATGTAGGCATCGATTTGACATCTCCATGTTCAATGAGTTGTGCAGGTGTTGGGATGACCAATATTTTTATGTAGTGAAATAAAGGACAACACAACCCTTGGATTTGGTGAGAAATATGAGCAGCTAAAGAAAGCTCTATAAACATGAGAGTGTGCACAGGTGCGCACACACACACAACTTAAAGTCTTCAAGACAACTTCTACTTCCTTTCTATAGGAAGTGCTGTCTGGTTTATTTTCTCTTATTTGTTTCTTCCCTGCTTTTTTCCTGACTTCATACTGTATCTCTGAAGACAGTGCTTTTATATTAATTGATTTTTCTCAGCACTAAAATGCTTAAATTAAGGAATGCTGTCAAGCATATTTAGACCCAACATTTGCATATCTTGAACAACACATTTTTGCTTTACAAATGCTGTTATGTTAAGCAGATGCATTTCCCTCTGTGTTTTGTCCTTCTGTATTATAATAGTGAACAGGAGATTCTCAGCCATTGTAGGACTGACTTGTAAAAGGATATCAACTTGCTGTTAAAATTGAATGGGTTGGTGTACAAGTTAAAACTCAGATGTTTTACTGTGGCATCTACAGCCAGCTTTTGTGGAGGAGTTAGTCAGTGAAATGTATTGAGAAAGCTCGGTGTCTATACTGGCCACATTTTTATATTTGCTTATTTATTATTTTGGTATGGGTGCTTTGCCTGCATATATGTTTGTGTATAACATGCATGCCTGATGCCCAAGATCAGAAGAGGACACTGGGATCCCCTGGAACTGTGTTGCGAGCCACTATGCAAATGCTGGGAATCAAGTCTTGCTCCTCTGCAATAGCAACAAGTGATCTTAACTGCTAAGTCACTCTCCAACCCTGATCACTTTAAAATAATAATTCCTAGTCTATTCTTCCCATATTCCGCACCCCCAACACCTTAATGTAGGCTTTTAATCTTCCGCTATCTAGAGCAGTGTGGGGGCCTCCCAACATGATGTTTTATTGTGTTCCCTGTCTCCTTGCCTGTCAGTAGGGATAATAACTAACCCTTCCTCCTGGGGTTGCTGTGGAGATGAGGTGACTGGCTCTGTGTGCTTGCTTCATTGGTCCAGCCTCTGTGGGGACTGCTTAGCTTGTGTACTGGCTCCCATCTTTCCCCAGCTGCTAGTCAGGGTTGTCTGCATTTCCCTTATGTAAACAATTCTGTGATTGCGCTTATCTGAAGAGATAAAACAGAAATTTTCAGTGTGTGTGAAAGGCTCTTCTCCATCGAGTCAAAAACACTTTCCCTTTCATATCTGTCCCTGCTTCCCAACACCCATGATGTGCCCTACTCTCTGGTTAGCCGTATCCCTTGGCATCGCTGGTCTGTGCTCAAGCCCTTTTCCCATCTGCAATAACTGTACGCTCTCTGTGCCTCAGAAATCCCTGCTAATTCTTAATGCCCTGGAGTCCTCGCTGGAGCATGTCCTCCAAATCAAATAATAGTGAATTTTATCACATTTAACAATAGTAAGCATAGAAGGGACTTTCTAACTATTTCATGATCTTTCCCCCTTATTGTAACACCAGATTTACTATACCTGAGATCCCGATTTCTACACAGATTAAACCATTACTAAATTCTCATGGAATCTTATTAAATCAAGGTATATTTACTAAGTGCCTATGGTACATCAAGTAAAGCATAAGTAATGAATAAGACAGTCTTTTCCTGCATGCAAATTCTATTTTGGTAAAGTTGACAGTGAAAGAATGTAGCCATGATAACAAATTTACAGGGAAAGGGGCTTCAGTGAGGCTGGCAGGGACAGGCCTTGTCTGATCCGCAGCCTCTCTCTACAGCGGGGACATTTGAACAGAGAGCTGAGCTAAGTGAAGGAAGGCACTGTATCTGGGAGGAGAGGGCACCAGAAGCTAGTGCCAAGGCCCCAGCGTGGATCTGCTGCTGGGATACTATGCGTGCAGAGAAGGAAGCCAGCGCAGCTCCTCAAAGTTGACTTCCTTGCTAGAAGAGCATTCCAGGCCTGTGTGAGAGCACTGGAGAAGGAGCCCTGGCCATCTGAGGCCCTTCTGGCTAAAGACAGCTCATTTTGTAAACGCCCCGGCGTCTTTCCCCTCCAGGGCGAACCCGTTTCTGTTCTGTATGTATGCATGCTTCTGTGCTGTACCTGGACTCCAAGTGCTCAGTGAGAGTGGGCGCCCTCTTTGAGAAGGACTTGGGTCTCCAGAACCCGTCCCTTTGGAAGCTGAGGCCTGTCTCCTAAGATGGCTGGCCTCGCTCTCACAGCTTTACCCCCAGGCCCTACAGCAGAGCCTGGCACATAGTAGGTGAATATTATTTTTAGTTTGACTGGAAGCCTGGCACATAGTAGGTGAGTATTATTTTTAGTTTGACCGGAAGCTTGGCATTGAGGGTTGAGAACAGGGACATCCCCATAGTATTGAAGTTTCCAGACTGGCTTGGGATATTGTACCCTTTAGGAAATAAAATAATCGTGGACATGAAGCAATGTTCAGGATTCATTTATGAGAAATGGGTCCAAGGCTAGATAACTGGAAAGTTTTCAAATTTGAGAGCCTGGAGATGAGACCACTAGTATCTACCAGGTGTCTACGGAATCTACGAATACATTGGTTTTAGATGTATACATGTCCCAATGCTTTTGGGGGAGGGGACCTTGCCTCACACAGAGCACAGTTGCTCCCACCTGGTCGAGCAGGAACAGGAAGACTGCTTTGGTCCTGTGTCCATGCTCTCCTGACTTAGTGGAGATCTGTTCCCTTGACAGGCTGCTCTCTGCCATGGACAGCACGGCCTCCTTAGAGAACATGCCCGCCGCCTTCTCGCTCTTTGAACACTATGATGACAGCTCGGCGCGAGGTAACCAGATGCTGAGACAAGTGGCTGGTGAGCATTTTCATGTTACTCACCTCGATGGATCTTGGCAGCTCTTGCTTGCCTGTTTTGGCAAGTTTCTGTAACTGGGTGAAGATGGGTGTGGTCTGTAAAGGCTTGAAGCTAGACTCTGAAATAATGCAGGGTCCAGCCGTTCATCTCTGGAATGTCATCCTTTTCCCTTTGAAGCTATGTGACTCTGCTAGATGGAACAGGAGAGATAAGTGAATGGAACTGAATGGTCCCCTCTTCTTTTATTCTATTTTTTTAACTAGAATTTCTCTCCCTCTGTGTAAGAGAATTGCTTCACACCAGCAGCCCAGCAGATGAATAAAAAGGAATACAATACTTTCTCATTCGGTGAGCCAGTTTACCTTATAAGTAGTTTCCCCCTCTTCAGCTCAGTTCCTTCCTCTTCTTCTTTATTTACTCCCCCTCCCCCACCAAGTCACACAGATTAGCTTAGAGAACCCACAGCTCAGCATCATGGTCTGCAGCCAGGGGCCTCCCACTCAGCTGTCAGCGCATCCTGCCAGCTTTTCAAATTATTTTTTAATGTTCTATTTTAGCAAACAAGGCAGTGCAACATTTAAAGGCTCGAAGCTGCCGTTTTCCTGGTTATTGAGTTCTGCTTACTGTACAGGGTGCTCAGATGTCCTCAGCAAGAGGTACCCTTGTCAGATAGACCTCACAGACATCAGTTGAGTTTATAATCCGCATTCCTGTAGGAAAGGTTCTAGCTTTGGAACCAGCCAGAAGCTGCCATGCCTTTTAAAAAGAGAGCTTCCTCCCAAAAGTTCCTGCTGCAGAATACTCACACCCCAACACTGTCAATAAAGTAGACAAGTCAGTCATTTACCGTAATGAATTTTCTTCAGAGCTGTCCCACATGGATGTGTGTTTGCTGTCCGCTTTAAGGCTTCATTATACACAGCTGCCCATTTACAAGACTAGAGTTTTGAGTGCCTGATGCTCAATGAGAGGGCTTTTTGTATATTTTAGAAGCCACAGAATTACAGTTACAGACTGCTAGCCATCAACCCAGGAAATGTGTGTTTACAGGTGTGAAGCACTCTGGGAGAGACTCCTGTGAATGGTCCAAGCTGCTCTGTGGCTGCTTTGCAGAGTATGTGGCCCAGGGCCTATGTATTTCTGTGGCCATTGGGGAGCTGGCCCCTGCTGACTTACACGGATTACAAGCTCCTGCTATAAGCTCTGAGAAGCAGCTACTACTGCCTTTTATTCAGTTCCCACAGATGCTGGGTCCCAGTGAAACATACAGAACCAGTCATCTCATCTCCCACATCAACCCCAGCAAGAAAGTTAGTTATTATCCCTATGGCCAGGCGAGGAGAGAGGAACACAACAAAACATCATGTTGCTCAGAGCCACACAGCTGGCTGGAGATATGGGGGATCTGGTCTCAGAATCTTTATACGGCATCCGCTGCCCCCATGACAAGGAAAGAGGAAAAACATCAGTGAAGTGATAGCTAGGCATCTTGACTCTGGATCTTAGATTTGTTTTTAATTGTGGTAAGATGCATATGTTATCATATTAGGGCTGGAGAAATGGCTCAGCAGTTAAGAGTGTGGATTGCTCTTGCAGAGGACTGGGTTCGGTTCTCAGCTCTTGCAGCAGGTAGCTCACAACTGTGTATAACTCTAGCCTTATGGAATCTGGGGCTTTCTCTTGGACGTCATGGGCACTAACTCTCCTATACATACATTATATATTTAAAACTAATTTACTATATCACTACTCATTTTATTTTGTTTTATTTATTATTTATTTTTGTCTTATTATTAAACACTGGCTGGCCTGGCACTCAACCAGGCTAGCCTAGAACTCAGAGATCTGCCTGCTTCTACCTACTCACCTACTGCTGAGTTTAAAGGTGTGTACCACCATACCTGCATATTAACCATCTTTAGTTGTATACATTTAATGTATGAATATAGCATGAAGTATGCTCATAGTCTTGACAGCTATTGCCACCATATATCCCCAGAATTTCATCTTACAACACTGAATCTCAGTATCCATTAAAACTAACTCCCTCTTTCTCTAGACCCCAGAAATTGCCACTCTTCTTTCTTTTTTCTCTGAGTTTGATGACTTGCAATGCCCCGATAGTGAATTCAGATAGTATCTTTTTATAACTTGTTTATTGCACTTAGCATATTTCTATGTTCATTCATGTTTGTAACATGTGTCACAACTTTCTATATGCTTGTGCTGTGGGTTATATCCATCCACCCACCCACTCATCATCCATCCATCATCCACCCACCCATCCATCCACCCACCCACTCATCATCCATCCATCTATTCTCTATCCATGGATGGGCACTTGGGTTGTTTCCCCCTCTTGGCTATTGTGACTGATGCTGCTTTCCTGGAAACTTGTGTTTGCTTTTTAGAGAAAGTGTCTCACTATATAACCCAAGTTGGCATCAGACTCATGCTGCTTCTGCTTCAGCTTTCTGAGTGCTGGAATCACAGGTGCATGGCACTATGATTGTATTGTGAGGGGAAATTTTGAAAGCTAGGTCGAGCGGAATCTACATTGGGCCCCAGGCACTGAAATCCAAGCAGATTAATGTTTAGCTCCGAGTATGAAAACTCTCTACAGATGCATTCAGTCAGAGGGGCTCCACAGGGTGCTTCCTCTTCCTACCTCTGACCTCTGGCAAAGAAGCCCCAAGATTACCCTTGTATTTTTTAACATCAAGTTACTCCTGTAAAAGTGTAAGAAGAATTACTAACATGTAAAATCTGGGTTCCAGTGTTTTACAAATATGAGTTACAAACATAGTCATAATTATTAGAGTGTGTCTATGGGATTGGCTTCTTTCCCTTTGGAGCATTTTCAGGAGAAAACACATTTCTTGTTTGGAGGATCGGGTATTTTAACTTTAATTCTTTAGGAGGAGCATATTGGAAACAAAATTACTTGTAGCCTACACGCTTTGCTTAATTCCCTACAATGGCTCTACCTTAAAATTCGGTGATGTGCTAAACTGTGCTAGAGAAGAGGACATAGAAAGATGCTGCCATTTCTACAAGATTAGCTCCAGCTCCATGTGTAATATACAGTGGGAAGAAGAGCATTCCCATTGTTCATGCCCCAAGCTCTCCACACTGTCCAAAACCACCAAGAATAGTTGAAGTGTTTTGTTTGGCTCTTCCATAACCCTGGGCATCATGAAAACTTGTCAGATCACCTCTCTGGATGGATACCTTTGGAGTGTAGCTCTAATTCTCTCTTGGAAGATACAACTGTCAGTCTTTAGGGGAAAGGCCTGGTCAGGTGGGTATCCACCTTCCCATGTAGCCTGCTCAGAGTGTCCTATCTCTGTGGCTTCTATGACTTATCAGGTACTGGGACTCCAGTTCAGCCTTCCCTGTCAGGAGTTTCTTGCTGTCTTTTCCATTTTCTGTTTTCTTGCCAAGGCTGTCTTGCCATCCCAATGCTGCCTCCAGCCAGGCACATTTATTAAACACTTATACATATTGTCTTGCTGCATGCAACAACCCTAGGATGTAATGACATTAGTCATTCATTTTTTGAAAGTGGAGAAAATGAGGCTAATATAATGGAGGTAGCTGGGGGCGTGTCTTGCATTAACCTGAAGTCAGCCTTTGTTCTGAAGCCTGTGAACTTGATTGTTCTTGTCTGCTCCTTTTTTTAAATAATTGCATTGTTTCTCTACCTCTTTATCTCTATTGAATCATTTCAATTTGTCTTTTTATTCCATTCTCCAAATCCGTTTATTTTGTTCCTCATTTTGACCTTATTGTTGAACTAACCTTTGTTTTCTTTCCCTGAGTGTCAGCCTATAAATTTGGCCTACATTATTCCACTAAGTTTATCTCTTAGGAAATTGTTGGCTGGGGAGGCACATGCACAAATCTTAAAAGTATGACATCTTTTCAACTATGAGAATAACCTTTTTCTATGATGTATAAAATATGTCCAATGATCATGTCTAATAAGCTCAGAAAGATAATTACTCAGAGATTGGTCTATACAGCATTAATGTTCAATATACATAATTATAAGTTCAAAAAATCTCCAGTAATACACTTGAGAATATTGTTGTCTTTAAAATTCAGTGTTACATAATTAGATTAGACATCTAAATTTATATGTAATTCTATAAAGAGATTACTTCTACCCCTTGTCAATTTTTAAATTTTAATTTAAAAAGTCTGTAGAGATACCATGTTAGAAAGAGAGGATAGATTATAGCTTTAAAAATTCTAGTTAATATTTAATGAAAGCCTTTCTTCACCTTGAAAATACTATAACAATTTCTGGAAAGGACTCATGGCTTTTTATTTTTATAAACTATGTCAATATAGAACAGTATAGCATTTCTTTTTTTCCTTTTTTATTTAAATTATAAAAAGCTTCTTTTAATGTCAATCCCAGTTCCTTCTCCCTCCACTCCTCCCACGCCTCTCACTAACCCCCTATCCCATCCCCTTTCTGCTCCCTAGGGAGGTTGAGGCCTTCCATGGGGGATCTTCAAAGTCTGTCATACCATTTGGAGCAGGCCTGGACCCTACCCCATGTGTCTAGGCTGAGAGTGTATCACTCTATGTGGAGTGGGCTCCTAAAGTCCATTGGTGTACTAGGGATAAATACTGATCCACTACCAGAGGCTCCATAGATTAACCAGCCCTCCAAACTGACATCCTATGCTGGTTTCCCAGCTATCAGTTTGGGTCCATAAGCAACCCCTTGTTCAGGTCAGCTGTTTCTGTAGGTTTCTCCAGCCTGGTCTTGACCCCTTTGCTCATCACTCCTCCCTCTCTGCAACTGGATTCCAGAGTTCAGCTCAGCGTTTAGTTGTGGGTGACTGCTTCTGCTTCCATCAGCTACTGGATGAAGGTTCTAGGATAGCATATAAGGTAGTCATAAATCTCATTATTGGAGAAGGGCATTTAAGGTAGCCTCTCCACTATTGCTTAGATTACTAGTTGGGGTCAACCTTGTAGGTCTCTGGACATTTCCCTAGTACCAGATTTCTCTTTACCTATAATGACTCCCTCTATTATGATATCTCTTTTCTTGCTCTCTCCTGTTCTCCTCTCCCCTCCTCTTCTCCCCTTCTCTTTCTTCTAACTCCCTCTCCCCTCCCCACATGCTCCCAATTAGTCCAGCCCACCAAGAGATTGCCAGTATAGCATTTCTTATCTTAAAGCATATTCAAGGGAATTTTAAGAAGTAAAATCAAGTTACTGGATAATCCATTAGTCACTGTAAATTTATTTCTCTAAGTATAAGACTACAAAATAGTGTTATGTAGTTTGGGCCCACTTTTGTTCATTTCTATTTGTGTTGCTTATACTGTTACAGAAGTGCCAGGAAAACATTCTGGAGGGACATGAAAACAGCCCTGACAGTGGCTGTATCCAAGGAATGAAGTTGGACTGTATGTTGGAAACAGGGACCCCCGCACCTACCTTTACCCCATAGATTTCTATATTGTTGGAATTATAACAACATGTTAAACATATTTTGAACAAAACAATTGATCAGTAAAATGGCATTAGTCATAGCGAATTGTGCTTCTATCCCAGTTCCACAGCCTCCTAGACTGGAACCTCAGGAGCCAAACTCTGCTACCAGCACAACAATTGCGGTGTACTGGAGCACGAACAAGGAAGATGTTGTGGACTCATTCCAGGTGTACTGCGTGGAGGAGCCTCAAGATGACCAAGAAGTAAACGGTAAGATGTTACACCTCCACATATGCAGGCCTGTGTTTCTGCATCTTCATGTGAAGTACTTAAGCATACACACATTATACATGCATAGAAACGTATGCACATATACACATTGAAATGTGTACATTTCCACAGAGCATTTATAGCCAGTTATGAAACAAGAATGATAACAAAATCCCTCAACAACCATATAATAAAATATTAGCAGAAAGAACAGTTTAGAAAATGGTATGAGAAAAAAAGCATATAAATACCATCACAATGGTCAACATGAATATTATAATTAAGACTCGGATTCAGGTTAGACTTTGAGCCCTCAATATGTAGGATCCAGAGTTTCAACGAGAATAGAGGTTTAACCAGTGCTGAAGTCTGAAGGGCAGCATGATGTGTCGTGCTCCGTAGAGGCAGCCAGAGTCCTAAGTTTCTTTTGGGAAGCAATCTGGGCTCTTAACTAGAGGTATTTTGAGATGGTGACATTCCAGGGCAATACCGATGGATAGCTGAATTTATCACATGCTAAGTTTTAGAAAGAAAACTGTTCTTTTAAAGGAAGATAGCGTTTCAGTAAAAATAACCAAATTGGTCTAAAGTGTAAGGTGTCACTAGATGAAATAGGTAGCTTAAACCTGTAGCTCCAGACTAGAGGAGGAGGCAGGAGAATGCTGCATTTCATGCAAATTTGGTCTCTAGACTGCACCAAAAAGCCCCAAACCCCTAACAAATAAAAAGACAAAAAGGTAGGCATTTTAATAGTATTTAATAATACTCCCTATAAAAATATTTAAAGTAAAACCATTCAAGAAATTTTAAAAGGAAAAAAGTCTTGATTTCAGCTTCTTGTAATAGGTCCTTATTCTATCAAATTTAAATATTTCCCTGTAAAAGTAGAAATATATAGTTAAAGGGATTCTGAAATGTGGGGCGTGGAAGACGGCCTGGGTGAAAGAATGAAGTCTTGAGTGAATGCATGTTGTTGACGTAAGCACAACCATGCCAAGGCCTCCAAAGCCTCAGACCCTTGGCGATGGCCAAGCCTTCCCTTGGTGGGGCTCAGAGGGGTGGCCAAGCCTTCCTGTGGTCCACGTATGAGTGTTTGGGAATGATTGACTAGTGTATGAAGAAACTATCAACCCTAGCTTTCTTCTTCCTAATGCTTACAGCCTGAGACTGCCCCCTCTGAAGACCTACCGCTATTAGCTAAGCCTGCCTCCTTGTTCAGCTGTGTAGAATAAACATGCTAAGTTTCCAGTTGCTACTCGTGGTGGTGCATTTCCATCAGAATGTATGCCCCACCAAATCCCAGCCTTTTCTGTACATGTGGCTATATGTCAGCCATGTCTTTATTCCTGTCACCCCAGTTAGGCCAATCCCTAAAGCTTGTAGAGGGTGACATTGAAGTCCTGGAGAAACTGTCAGGATCTGAAACCTGGAGCGCCATACTGAGTAGCAGACTTGATAACTAGTCTATAAAGGTGTTCTACAGTCTTAAGTAGAAGTACCTAGCTGTCCTTTCCAGGGATGGACTCCTGGAACTTGAGGCTTTTCTTGAGACTATATTACTTAAGTGACATAAATACTATACAAGTTTGATATTTGCTTTTGAAATAAGTTACTTTAATTGTGGAGTATGAACCTCAGACATGTACTAACATGCTATTATTTTGTGATAAAATGTTCACTAGTAATACTTTGTCATTCTAAATATCAGTTTTTAGAGTTCTATTGCTTTCTTACACACCCTAAAAGAGGTGATTGTAACACGAAAGTAAAAGATCCAGAGAGTGATGTTGGGGTTCAAACTTCAAGCTGAAGTTCAGAAAAACAAAGCAGCAGGCCACTAGCTCTTACCACTACCTCAGGCTGAATGAGCTTACCCGGCTGCCTCTCCTCCATGTGCCTGGAAAATGAATGCCTCATACTGAATACTGATGACCCTGCTCCTATATTTTATACCTTTCTAGTGCTGAGATTAAAGGTGTGTGATCTATTACTTTTAAACTGATTCAATCTCATGTATCCCTGGGTGTCCTTGACCTCAGAGAGTTCTGTCTATCTTTTAATCCTTAGTACTAGGATTAAAGGTGTGTACCACCATCTCCTAACTTCTGGCTGCTGGGATTAAAGGTGTGTACCTGGTTTCTATGGCCTGTGGCTGACTTTGCTTTCTGAATCCCTTAGGCAAGCTTTAATAAATCATAAATAATATATCACCATAGATAATTATCACACAATAATATTTGTAAAGTCATCAGTTCAAGTCCGATGCAAAAATCATAGACTGATTTTTCTAGTAGTTTACTTTAGAAGTCACCTTTGAACTCATGGTTGTGTCTCACGATAGAACTAGTAGAAGAATACAGATTGACTGTGAAGGAAAGTTACTGCATTTTTGAAGACTTAGAGCCTGACCAATGTTATCAAGTGTGGGTGATGGCCATCAACTTCACCGGATGTAGCCTGCCCAGTGAAAGAGCAATTTTTAGAACAGGTAAGCAGGTGCTAAGATGTTATTATGGGTAATACTCAGTCCTTCCCAGACTCTTGAAATCAACCACTAAGTATTTAGGAAGCACTAGCTGTGTATTAAATGTTGGGCAAAATGATGGGTATAAGACCAAGGTGGGGCCTAGGGCGAGCTCCAAGGCAGAGCATGGATCCAGTAGCATGACGCCTTAGGATCATTCCTCAAGTACAATGACAACAGCAACATGACTGAGCTCTTGTCTGAAAGATGACAAGGGTTAAGCTGAGCAGTTAAAAAGGCAGATCATTGGGAATGTTGGGTAAAGGTCTAGGTCATCATGAGAGCACTCAACAGAGTACCAAGACAGACAGGGCAAGGGCAGGATCGGGGATGGCTCCCTAGAGCTGACACCTGCATAGAGTGCTTCAAATGATCGGTGAGACATAATGTGCTAACTGGAGCAGATTCCTCCCAAAGAAACAACAAGCAGCCATGAAGTATGCATTGTGGTGTGGGGCACTATAAGATCTTTGTTATTCCTTAATCTTGAAAGTAAGGAAAGACATCGTTTAAAAAAGGGTTAGCATATAGAGCTTTTATTTGCAAGCTAATAAGACTGGGCTTCATTATACAGATGCAGGAAAACACAGAATGGTGCTCAACTGGAAATATATTTTCATGGTGAGAATGTATTTCCACAAGGAACTGAAACATGAGATATAGTATTGACCAAGGCTCCCTTGCCTTTAAGATCATTACAGTTGCCTCAGGGAGGAGGTAGCTTATTCCCACCATTAGTCCTGTATCCTTTCTTCTTGCCTTTAAAAACAAATATTTGGCTCAGCGTGCTGACTCATACATATACTCCCAGCATTTGGGAGGTGGAGACAGGAGTTCAAGTTCCTGGCCAACCTGGGCTACATGAAATCCTGTCTTAATAACCTAAAACACAAAAATGAACAATCTTCCCACCCAAACCTGTACTGACACTACTGGGGACAAGATCATGTCTACCTTTTGGGTAAAAGGAGAAGGGAAAGAATATTTGTTTTGTTTTTGTAGTAGTTATATAAAGAAAACAGGGTAGGCTTTATAGAAAACGACTGTTTGGGACTGTTTGGGGCTGAGATAGAATCTGACAATATGTAATGCTGAGGAAGGAGAGAGACATTTAGCTATGTAAGTGATTTTTTTTTAGTTTGTTTTTTTATCTCTTGAGTTTTTAGCTCAGGATAATTTTTAATGCAAAAATTAAAAATAAAACCATACTTAAATATTCCCTCCAGAGTTGGCATATCTCTGTTATCCACTGGTTTTTCTCTCTCTTCAGCACCTTCCACGCCTGTGATTCATGCAGAAGACTGCACTGTGTGCTGGAATACGGCCATAGTCAGATGGCGGCCTGCTAACCCTGAGGCCACAGAGACCTACACTCTGGAGTACTGCAGACAAAACTCTCCTGAGGGCGAGGGCCTGAGGTAAGGGTCCCTCTCCATTGTGAAACTGCCAGGAGCCCAGGAACCATGTTCCAACTCCTAGGCTATGGGAGCTTCTGCTTAGCCAGCAGGAAAAGCATCCTTGAACCCTGCTGAGCCAATTAAGCTGTTGACTTGATTTGCTGCGCCATCACTATTCATCAATGAACTCCGTGTTTATAATAAAACACGTGCTACAGCGCAGAGTAATAACTCCCATGTAAGAAAAATATATGCGAATTTTAATAAGATGGAACTCTCTTTGAGGTATATTTAACTTGAGTCATTAGTCAGGATTTATGCATGTTTTGTGCCATTTTTACTAGCTCTATCAGAATAGGTTCCACCTATCCCAGGAAACTAATACTGAGTTTACGTATGATGTAAATCAGAATGTCTCCACGATATACTGGCCACATAAAGGAGCGAATTGCACATACATTATCACAGAGACAGACTTGCTTCTCCAACAATGCGAAGAATATAGAGATTCTTCTAGAATAAAAGAAACATGAGGCTCTCTCACTAAAATGATGGATCTAAAATGCATCAAGAAAGGACCACACACATCTGTTAGGCAGTTAGTGAATACTAACCCATCTGTGAGGTGGTATTTCCTTAACCTCTGAAGTTCTGTATATAGAAAGCATCCTCACATGCCATGATGAATATTCAGATTGCTCTAACTGATATTTATATTTTGATAGGCAACATTTCTATTTTTCTTTTAGCCACATTTATTGAGAGAAACTATTTTGGCAGGAAGTTAGGAGTAATGGCATGAAATTAGACAACCTTTTAATAAAGTATATTCAAGCTCTTGATTAGCATCTTGCTCAAGCAGCTGTTTATTTAGTTATGATATAAGGTTTCACATGACTGAACAATAATTATAGTTTCTTTCAGGTTGAAGACAGGCATTGCTAAATAATGATTGGCGTGTATGTTGGGGTTGGGTACAGGAGGAGGGGTGGGATACAGGCACTTCTGCAGAAGTGAAACATGGTGAATGTATAAGCCGGAGCCTGTCTGCTTGAGTTCTGACTGCTGGGGGGTGAGCTTCAGGAATCATTATGCTACTATACATTAGTTTTTCATGTTGGTTCGTTGATTGCTACGGAAAGCCACTAATCTGTGTCAGCCTGAGAGCTCAGACAAGCATGTTGTGATCTCAGGATGCTTATGGAACAGTCTGAGAGGGCACTGTGCTGAGCCAGAGCCTTGTTTTAGTCCTGGCTTCACCCTTGATTTTGCATTCTATTGCTTACTCACCCTCCATTGGCTAACCCTTGTGCAATCCTCACACGCTTTGTGTATCTCAGCAGGCTTTAGTTTGCCAATCCCTGATGTAGACCTAATGCCAGGTACGGTAGAGGCCTGGCTGCTACCTTCACATGAAATCAGAGACAGAGAAGAGGTTTAGCATTGTAATATGCTACCCAAATGCAAAGCTTTAAGAAGAAAGTCTTCCTTTGGCACTTGTGCTGCTGAAGGTTGCTAGGCATCAGCCAACATCTTAGAGGTAAACTCTGGTCTTCACGGAGGGTAAGGGACTTAAATACTTCCTCTGTGATGGCACTGGCCCAGGTGCTTCAGGTATGTCACTTCAGTTAGTTCTCACAAGGGTGTTACTGAGTGGCAATCAGAATTCAATCATAGATTTGTCATATTTAAACATTCAAACCCTTAATCCCTGGGTAAGATTACTTAGGGAGTCTGCAACCCTCTCTACAAAGTTGATGATGCTCTGAAGATGCTATTTCAGGAACCTCTGAGTCCTAGGGTGGTCTCTCCCACCCTCTGTGAGGAAACCCAGTTCTCAGGAAATATCAGCCTGTTCAGAAGTGCTTTGAAATGACTCATCTGTTGTGCCGTTCATCATTCATCTCCAGCTGGCATTTACATAAATCATTCCAGCACAGTTGGGTACTTCAGTCAGCAAAAATCTGAAAACCTTGAGACCCAGTAGCAATCTCATCTAGGGAATTGTGTTGCTACCTCATAAGTGTGGTTATAGAGAGAATAGAAAGGGGAGAGGAGGTGGTGTCCATAGAGGGTCTTTATGGTGCCAGAAGTCATGTTTGCTCTTATTGAACTCTCTCAGTGATCCTGTGAGGTAGGTAATGATTTCTATTACATCAGAACTGAAAATCTTACATGGGTTGGCAATCTATTAAATTAAGCACTCTAAGTTTGGGGTTAAAATTCAAAATGAAGTCTGTTTTATTCATTCTGCCAATTTTCAAACTCTGATCATTGCAGACACTGAGCTATCAGAGACATCACCCTGGCACCTGGGAGTCACTGTGTACCCTTAGTTTTCTCTGTCCTGTGAAAAAATCAGATATGAAAAGATGATGGAACCACCATTCATATCTTCTTTCATTGACCTTTTTCCTTTGTCTGATCAGCATTGGGTCCTCAAAACTCTCCAAGAGGGGGTATAGTCACTGTCAATAATGAATAATTCCAAACAAATCCTCCTGTTAAAGTAAAAAAGACTGATGGCAGTCCTGTTTTTAGAGAAGACAATGGTCAAAACACCAATTTTGTTGAGGCCAAAGTAGAGTTTAATGAAGCATAAATCTAGTTATCGGTTTGTTTTATCTGAGACTTTGCCAATGTGTTTTTTATTCTGTTGTAAGTAAATATATGAGGGGCTGAAAAAGCAGAAGTTTGCAGCAGTGTTAGAACTACATGGAGACCCTTTGTTACAGAGTGGATCAAGTCTAGTAAGGTCAAAAATCAGGAGGAGTTCCACTTGCTGAGCACATGGAGAATCTAGAGGTGTTGGAGACAGAGCCGATTTCCAGTTAGGTGTTCAAAGGCCTTGGGTGGCAGGATAGCCAATGTCCACTCACAGCTCAGGGCTGACTTTCCAAGTCTGGACTTCTGCTGCATCTGACAGTAGACAATCTTCTGGAGGAAGCAGAGTTTTCTTGACTTTAGATTGCTACCATGCTCCTCTTCCAAGTCTATTGTCGAACTACCACAACAGGGTCATCTCTTGCTCATCGAAGCCTTTGTGTTTTGTGCCCCAGATTGGCTTCACTAGACTCCAAAATAACTCACCCTTAATCTTGAGACTCAGGATAGTATGCATGTTTTGGTTCTCTGTTCTAAGAATCCAAGAGACAAGGGAAATTCTGCTCTTTCGAATTGGCCATGTGTCTTAGATCTTCTGACAGAAAATCACTTCAAAGCCTGGTATTTCAAAACTCAGTAAAACACTCTTTTTCTATATTATATATAGCTTAATCTTTGCTGTACCAGTTAGCTCATGCAATCAATACATAAAGAACAATAATTGTTTTTATCACCTCTACCTATTAATTCCTACTTTCTATCATATTAGAACCTCATTTGGCTTCAGGCATAGCTGTCAGTGGTTAAGATGGTGTTGTCTCTTGGAAGGAGCTGTGCTGAGTGTTGTCTGGTCTCCTTCATTTGTTGACTTCCTAAAGGGATTATTATCACATACAATTGTAGCCCTGGTGTCTGAGGCAGTACCTGGCACTGCACAATGAATGTGTATGTATTCCTTAATGGATGAGTATCAACTAGCATCAAATATATAATGTTGACAAAAAGAATAGTTAGACAAGCTTTAAGGACAATCTCAAAATAATAAACTGCTGACAAAGTAGAGAAGGATTGTGAATGAGTTCACTCCAGTGTTCGGACATGTAACTAGGAGAAAAGATGAATCTAACTTGCTAGCAGAAAACCTTTCTGTGGATCACTGATAGAGACAAGCATGCAGAATTCCATTTAACCATTGGCTATATTATATAACCCCTACATATGTTCCAAGTTTGTAGAAAAATTACTTTAAAGATCCCTGAAGAAGCATAAAAGTAGACCAGAGATGACATATTTCTCATGAGGATCTGTTTACCAGAGCCTAGATCATAAAGTGAATGAGGATTGAAAACTCATCTGTATAGACACCATCAAAGGTCTGTTAATGAATGAGAGTGAATGGATGAGTCAATTTCTTTGGTCTTTGCCCACCTAACTAGCTGACATCTCCAGCAAATGAGAGGGAGCAAAAACTATATTTATATCTGTCTTTTCACTACCCTAGATCTTTGGGGAGTGGGGGAAGGAGCCTTAAAAACTCTGGAGTACTGTAGGAAAAGAGTTGAAATGAAAAAAGGGACAGGAGAATGAGTAATATAGAAATAATCGAATCTGGCCCACACCCATGCCCACACACGTTCACACATGCACGTGTGGGTGCACACACACACACACACACACACACACATACACACTTGCACTCATGGAGGGCGGGCACTGATTCATTGATTGTGCTCTAAGTGAGGCACTGTCTTATCAGCTGCCAGAATGAAGTCATCCATCTGAGGACCTGTGCTCCTGCTCCCAGAGTGATGACCTCTTAGATATTCTAATTTAAGACCAATGATGCTGGTTGAATTCTGGGGGGGGGGGTGAATGGAATGAGTGAGCCTACCGTGCCCCCTTGCTCCATGACACAGTATCTGAAATAGCTAAGCAGTGAAGCCTCTTTCATAATTCTTCTAAAATTTTGCTTTTTTTTTTCATGTGGGTACCAAAGCTTGGTCACACAGTCAGCGCCTGTTGGGACTGGAGGTGAGTGGGAGGAGTTGACAATCTTTGGCTTGTGTGTGAGATGGAGGGTCTCCTACTCTTCCTGTTTTTCTTTGAATGCTCTCCTCAGCTTGGGTGGGCTCAAAACACTTTCAATTTTTTTCCACCACTCTGTTTCCTCAGCTGCTCCGTCTCCCCCGGTGCAGAGAGAAGTCAGCAGGAGCGTAGGTGGAGGAGGAAAACTGAGAGAAATATAGTACAGGAATTAGCTGTGTGGGTTGTGCAGAGAAGTTGTGCATTGAATGACAAATCTGTGAGACGCAATACTCCACAAATTAGTTGGGGGTGAGCTTCCTGTCCCTGCCTCCGCCTTAGGCTGTGGCATCCAGAGATTACCTCTGGACCATACTCTTGAGGGTGAGTATCCT